TTACGCCAGGATTTTGGGCAGTCTCCTTGGCCGGAGCGGGAGCGTCAGCAGAAGCGTTGGCATTCGTGACTTCTCGCAATTGAGACCCCGTCGAACTAGCTACACGGCGAAGCTTGCCATTCGAGTGACTACCAGAGCTAGACGTGTGCTTCTCTTTGGTGTTTGTGTTCTCGGACTTTGTGTCGTCGTGAGCGACCTTGGAAGATTTGGGTGCCATGACGGTAGTAGGGATTAAATAAGGATTTGCCAAGACCGTCGTAGCTGGTTTGGTACAGGCCGTAGGAAATGGAGGAGAGAGGCGTGCTCAGGTATCACATCGTACTCGAGAACGGAGACTGGGAAGAAATTGGTGAGGTGTGGTGAGGGGGGAAGAGAGGCAGGGCCGGGGCGAGAGAGTGGAAGCGTGCGTGGATGCGTGGTGTGGGCGAGAAGGGGATTTTTTCTCACGTCATGGCACCAAACAGCCGGCGGTGCCTCTGTTGGTTGCTAGCAGGTTGCCCAGGGCCCTGCCTGCGTCCAGGAGCGAGCTGCGGGGCGGCCACTGGCGGCATGGCGGAATTCGGGGTCTGGCGCGAACTCTGAACAGCGAGCGCTGAACAGTTGGAGAGAGCACGAGAGGTTGTGCCTGGAAAAGTTGGGCCCCGTTGCTGGCGTCAATGTGGTGCGACATCGGTACGTACACAAAGTCGCTGCTCGAAATGCGATCCCCGACATTCTGCCTGCTTACCTAAGTTACTTACACCTGTCGGCTCCGGAGCAAATTTTCAGCTCCAGCCTAATTGGGATAGCGCAATGGTCGATCCTCCCTCGAGGGTGGAGTTTCCGTCGGCCCCTCACCTTTTTCCGCGCTCTCCAACTCCAGACGGCGGCTACCTATTCCCGTTGTCCAGTCCTTTCATTGAACAAAACAGATCCTACTATTTCAGACTCGTGGAAGCCAAATGCCCTTCACCAATGCATCCAATCTCGAGGCAATATCAGCAGCTGCGACTTAAAATATATGTACACTGGAAGCAATGCGTGCCACCGGCCAGTAAACAACACACGGGCTCCGACTGGCAACTTGCCAATCCAGGCAGGGGCAGTAAATCAAGCTTTCGATTGGGAAAGCTTCCGTCCGCCGCAAACCAAAATCACAGAACGCAGTACTTATTCAGCAGAGCTTGAAAATTGAAGGATGTTGTGCGCCCAAGGATTGACGTCTGCTTGCACGGGACAATCCCCTCTCACCAACTCAACCCCAATTTCCCCACATTGAGGGAGGACGACTCTTGGCTGCACGAGCATATCGGCCACATCCGCGAGCACCAAGGGAGCTTCTCCTTCATTCTTGGCCTCCTGATCGAGCCAGGGCATCTCAAGACCTCCAGGGCTCCCGGCCATACAGATACCCGAGTCAACATACGGCCCGCGAGATTTGCCCGACACGACTGTGTCTGGGTTTCTATCCCCCACGCTGTACGAAACACTAGGTGTGGCTGGCCCAGTAGCTTGGGTTGCCATCTCGCACGTAATTGAATCTATACACACGAGGGTCATCCCGCGTCGAGACGCAGGTGGACCAAGAGACCCCCAAACTTTCTTTCGACGCCAGACTTGAGAGCCCCACGGCGTGCTATCTGCTCTATTCCTCAACTAATATCGAAACTAACTACGGAGTACGCAGGCCAAACATGAGGGAATATCGTCTGCTTTGAGGCCTCGAAATTTCGTCTATTCATTTGACTGACGCCATGGTCCTGCCAAAGGCCGCGAGAAGGGGGGCTGACTACCCAAACGATGCATGATCGGGCATCCTCAGTCGAACGCGCATCAGCGTGTGGATTGGTCAGGTGTTAAACCTGGCCACGGCTCCAATCCGCAAGGACATGCGCAAGTGGCACGCTTTCGATGAGAAACCTGAACCCTCACGACCTTTTGCCCGCCGTAGGCGCCACAAATACCTACCAATGATATTCATCCGAAAAGAAGAGTTGATGGCATGACCATACAAATCGTCCAAGGAACCGCAACTCCAAGACCAACACGAAAGCCATCAACTTTGCTGCCAGTTCGATATACTTCCGGACTGTGGCTTGCCAGGGAGATCATTTAGTTGTTACCCTCACCCTTGCTGGCCCACGGCCAGCTTGCGAAGGAGCCCATGTCCCTGCCGAAGTTCACCGTGAGTGGAGCCGACTGTCTGTGGTTTTCCTCCAACAGGCGCTGACCGACGATCAGCTAAATATCCCTGCACCCACCTCCACCACAACTTTTCGCGAGTCGCCTCGGCCCTAGGCTGCAGAGTACAGCTAAAGATGACGGCTACGGAGTATTATCGACATCATCTAGTTGGCAACTTGAACGCCAAATTTCCTTGGCGTCCTTCTCTTCCGGAGATTCGATAATCCATGTCAGGTGGCATCATAACCTGCCTGGAGAGAGGCGATTCGAAATCCAGCTGGGTCGTCGCCATTTCAAATGAGTTGTATGGCTGCGTGACAACCAGCGGGAAAAGAAAAAGCGTCCTGCGCAGCTACGAAGAACTATTGCGGTGCAGGTAACCAGGGTAGCGAGTCCGAAGATCCATCGTTTCCGAGTCGAACAGCTATTTCCACCCACTAATCGCTAATCTGTTGACCGAAGCAATGCGACTTGAGCTCATTGGACTGCCGGCATCGATGGAAGACGGGCGTGGATAGCTGCCCACGAGCAGATTTGGAGTGTCAGTGCCCCGACCAAGAAGGGTCGTGTGCTGCCTTTCCGATTTCAGGGTCTATACCAGATTGGGAACCCATTACGAGATGAGAAGAGCCAAGGTATGAAGAGTGCATCAACGGGGATGGCCGAAGTACCGGCTGAGACTCCGGAAATACTCTTTTGAACGTATCCGTCTGCTTCGATATTGAGACTATGCCGACTTGGAAGATTCACCCACGCCCCACCCGAGAATGCGGTATTTGTTCCTGATGTGCCTCACGCATCTCAGCCTCAGAGCGTGGGGTTGATGACTGGCACAAGATCGACAACGACATGGCATCCGCCTTTGGGTGAATTCGTACGCGTATGATGGGCGGCTAGCTTGGAGTACCACAACATGGCCGTTTCCGAGCTTAATCAGTGAGTGCTGCAGCTTCGGTTTGATAGCGACAACTTAGACGCGATAGCCGGGCAGTTTGGTAGGTCTGGTGCGACCTGCCACGAGAATAACCACGTGTGGGATTAACGGTGACAGGTGATTGACAGGCAATTTGCAGCAAATTTGTGCTGGTTTTGTGGCGCAACCCTGCCTCTCTTCTGCGTCTTGCTCAACGCTCAGGGTGTACTACGTACTTCTCTCACATTGTCTCACTTTTCTGTCAACACAACACCACCCTCGAGGGGAGCAATCTTGTAGCTCTTAGCACCATTGACGCCGAGGTACCACAGAGCGGCAAAGGGTCATGAAGCAAATTACGTGGACAATTGCCCTAATGAGAACGGTCTCGGTGGGAGTTTTGACAGTGTCGTCTGTGGGTAGCTAACCGCCAAATGTCGCAGATGCTGGTTGGCAAAGGCTGGCAGCAATAACCCCCAAAGAGAAGCTCGAGAAGTCTTAGGCGACACTGGCGGCCGATCCACGCAATCATGTCGATAGGCCGGGGTAGGGCGCCCCAGAAGGGTGAAGTCCACCGTCCAAGCTCCAGACCGCGCCCATCCCCACACGTCTCGTCTTCTTCAAGCGAGCTATGGAGGGGACTCGAGTCTCACACCGGCCATCCCTGCAGAAGCTAGCCACGCCAGTCACGGACGGCATGGGCATGCTTGTCGTAAGGCGAGCGAGGAGAACTCGGGGGATCTTTGGGGGTCTTTAGACGGGGACCCTCTAGCTCGAAGGGACCAGTCTGTGTTTGCTGTGCTCATCCAGTTGACGGTCGTACGACGACAGAGACCACCACCTGGAAATGTCATGAGAGCACCCTCTCAGCTTGACTGACCCGCTCCATTGCCTCGCTACTCGGAACCATGTGGAGCTATTGTGAGAGCAAAACGTCACTGATTCTTCCTTCACCTTGGCTCAACATGGCGGCTTGCCGACCGATATCCGTCGACTAAAAAAGATGAGGCGAGCGATGTGATGAGTTGGGGGGTTCCTGACCCGATATACTTACGGCTTAGTCTTTTTATTATCCACGCCAACCAGATCGATCTCGGCTCCCTCAAGGTAGAAAAAAAGCAGGTCAGAAGTGTCCGATTTCCCACCCGACGAAACGCATTCATGGATTACAACCAGACCCAGCGGTGGCCGGCAGTCTTGAGCATGTTCAGTTACATTTCCCTCGGCTACGACTATAGCGACGGCTGTTGGAGCGGGATTTTGCGGCCAACCAGGCTTCTGGGCTCATTGCTCTTTTTCTACCTCTCTCCGCGTGTACCTATACAGAGAAAATGTAGGGGGCATGGTGCGGCTGCCTCGGACGGATACCGCACGCTTTTCTTCCATGAGGGTAAATGACGAGGCGCAGGAACGCACATGCACAGGTGGTCACTTGTCAACTTTTATTTTGTCGGGTTCTCGCGAACGGTACCGAAGACCAGGCGGATACCCCCTTCTGCTTACACGGCCTATTGCCCTTGTTCAAGTTCCGATATTGCCCTGCAGCACACTTTCAGAGATGGCCGTTCCCTCGGCGCGTCTATCCTGCCAGAGGCGAGGTACCATGGCAATTATTGCATGTACGGATATACGATAGTAGTGCCCGGCCGCATCATCTTTCCAGTTTCCCCCTCCCCCCTCTCCGAGTGCACCCTCAAAGACCATTCGGTAGACGGTGCCAAGGAAGGGTCTCAAAAGGGGAGTCACCCAAAGTCAAGGAGTATTTCAACCGCAACATGACATGTTCATAATTACTCACATGTATGTACTCTACGGATACTCTATGTGACTATGTACGGAGTCACGGAGTATACTGCGCAAGAAGGCGCACTAATGAAGGACCCCTCCTCCATGGCGTGGCCCACCACACCTTTTTTTTTCTGGCATGCTACGGCCCTACCGTGTAGGTACTGCGGTATGTGTGCTCCTGTGGGAGTGCACAGCTTAGTAGCTGCTTGGTCAAGGGCATCTTTCTGCGTTCTGCGCATCGCATCGCATCGCATCGCATCGCATCGCATCGCCGGCGGGCCTCACACCTTGGCCACACCCTGGGTTCACCGATGATGGCCAGGTTTGTCTGGAAGGGTGGAGGGGGGGAAAGGGGGGCACGGGGGTGGAAGAGAGAACCCGCACACTCTTGCCTGCCTGGCTGCCCTGCCCTGCCCTGCACTGCACAGAATGGAAGCAGAGAGAGGGGGAAGCTTACCTTACCTTGGATGCTTGGAGAATCGAGAGGCAAGACTGACGAGAAGGGGGAGTGGGAGTGGGAGGTGGCATAAGACCCCCCACACTCCCACTCTGCGCTCTCGATCCATCTGCCCAGGTGGTCAAACGCTTCTTTTTTTGTTTTTCCAATTCAACCCACTTCCCCAGGACTTTGCCGCCATTGCTGCGTACGAAGTATCCATACGGAGTAAACTACTAACACGGTGGACCAGCATCAGCATCAGCATCAGCACCAAGCACCAAGCACCAAGCACAAACACCACCCACTCACCACCATTCACTCCATTCGACACCTCCACAAGGCCCGAATCTTCAGCGGCAGCAAACATCTTTCTTTCTGCCCTGCCATCCGAGCTTCGAGAAGAAAGACGACATTGTTTCCTGCCTTTCCGTGCCGCCCCCATCTCTCTCGCGCGCGCACTCTCTCTGCCTGTCTCGACATTAGCAACACAAACGCCAGTGTCTGCGCTTCGCGTCCCGTCCAACTACCATCGCCCCTTGTTTGGCTTTGCGTTGCACTGCACTGCCGTTCACTGTCCAGCGGGAGCCCTTGCGTCCATCAACTTGGCGAGGTGAAATCTTCTTCAGGTAGGGCATTCCAATCCATTCTGTCTGTCTCGTTCTCCCTCTCTCTATTCATATGTCTCTCCATCATCCGTCGCCTCTTTCCCGCCCTCCATATTTCCTTCTGTTCTCTTCCCGTTCCTTACCATGTCTCCCGGCATTTCGAATCCAACCCCCCGGGGATTTGAGAGACAATCCCACCTGGTACCCGCCAGACATGCCGCCGTGGATCAGGAACGACATTTTGCCACGTCCACGTCTACCTACGTCCATTCAGCTTCCAGTGCCGGAGACCGTACATTGCTTAGGACCACGAATCGAGCTTAACACGGATTACTCGGGACGATGATGCCTCAGCCGGATGACATGCGACCAAGCTCCATCGGCTACTATGGCAGCCGCAGCTACTGCTGTAGTTGTCACAAGCGCTGAACACCGATCCATCTGCCCAGCGGCGCTCCCCGACGTGCAATCGGTCGCCGCTTTCCTTGAGTTTGAGGTACCTACCTTAACCTCAGGTTAGCTGGGGAATGCCACTGACGGACAGCAACGGTTCGCTTCGGTTTACTTCGCACTCAAGGGACCACGCCGTTCGGGGCCAATGTACCCCGAAGCTCCAGGTACCTGATCTTGCACTACAGCCACTACAGTCCACCTCCGCTTCCATCAGCAGATCCCGTACCCGATACAACACCATGTCATCGTCCCGTCTCCCGCCATCCTTCCACTCAAGGTTCACTGTCTTGCTTCTTAGAGGCTGGACCGCCCCGGACGACAGCTTGTGCGACTGGAACGGCGGCGACGCCTCCCCCAGGAAATAGGGAGAGAGAGAGAGAGAGAGCACGAGAGAAAGATCTGAGGAACAGAGAGTCGATGGCGCCAGGCCTGGCTCATGGTTGTTACACGCCCACCCCCTAGGTCGCAACGCTATGGTCCATCTCTATCGCCCTTTTTAGTCCACATCTCCACAGCCCTTCGGCCCTGGTCCACTCCCATCCGCAACCTCCAACCTTGCCGTCTCTTATTTTGTTTTTTTGACACCCACCCCCTCCCCTCTCTTTCGCTCTGTCATGCAGTCCAGCGCTCGTCCATTTTACCGCAACAGGCGGCAGACCCGTCATTAATACTACCATCTCCACCGACATCCACCTGCTAACCATTCCCAGCTGCTTACCTTACCTTGCCTTGCCTGATCTCGCCTCAAGGGTCTCGGTACCTCAACTGAAGGAGCATCTCACTGTCCTCGAGGACTGCGCTCTCAACCGCGACTTTTCCCTCACGCATCGCACTCTACCTTCTTGCCACGCTGTTGCCGCTACCGTAACCTCTACTGGCCGGTGCTACTTCCTCCCCGTCATGTTTTGAAAATCCTCTCCAATTGGCTTTGGAGAGGCCAAACTAGAAAACTCGAGTGCGATTTTGCGCACGCAGCTTGTATATTACGAATACTGAAGAACACGAGACGTCCAGCACCACTGATCCAACTGGACCGACAAAGTCGCGCCACTTGACAACGAAGAGTTTCTACCGCCCCCCGTACGCTTCGCAAAACAACATCTCAAGTACCACCGTTGCGACAATAAGCTTTGAGCGCAACGAAGCTGGTGTCTCTAAGTCTTGGTCCGTTACATCGTAACAGGACCCGCGCCGCCAACAACCTCGGATTTTCCGACGCCTATCTCACGAAGCTGCCGTCTGAAAAACCATGACTTCTGTTTTACCCGCACATCCAGCTAGCTTCAAATCCTCAACCTCGCTGCCCTCTGCTGGGCCTGCGACAATGGCGACAAATCACGAGCCGCGGACGAGTCCGCAGCATTTCATCAAGCAGGAACACGAAAGCGGTAGGGGAAGACTGCGGGAGGTCTCTGAAGACAAGGATGCCGACATCATGGACGATGATGGAGACGAAGGAAAAGCCGGCTCCTCCAACTCGGACGGTGGCCCTGCTAGAAAAAGACGGAGGAGTCGCAAAGGCTTGGACAAAAAGTTTGAATGTCCTCAGGAGGGCTGTGGAAAGAGCTACTCTAGAGCCGAGCACTTGTAGGTGGTGCCGTGTACAGTCCATGTCCCACAAAACTAACAACTCTTCAGATACCGTCACCAGCTCAACCACACGCCCAAGCAGATTTATGCTTGTGACTTTCCTGATTGTAGTCGCACTTTTGTTCGGCTCGATTTGTGTAACCGCCATAGAGACCGTCACACAGCCAAGGGGTCCGCCCTGAACCGAAAGGACTCGATGATGAGCCATATCTCCCCTACCACGGATCGCCCACCTTTCCCGCTGCCTGGGTCTGCTTCGCCCGAGATTAGTCGGCCGGGAACGGGCTTCGCCAATATGCGGCAAGCCCAAATGCAGTATCAGTCGCCCAAAGATGTATCTGGTAGCCCGTTCATTCAGGCAACCAACACCCCGCCGGGATACCCAATAGGTGTGCACCCTGGCGGAATGGACGGCTACATGCATCACGACAATGGGTACGGAGGCGTTCAGGCGCATCGCCCCCCGCAACAGTCTCCGAGCGGCCCAAGGCCGGTTGGACAGACCAACGGGTCTTACATGTCCCCGGTTGCCAATCCACACGGCTACCACACCCAGCCGCACAACACCCCTCAGTCTGCACCGTACACAACTCAGCAAAACTTTCCGCAATTCAATCTGCCGCCCTCCGACTTCTCCAACGGCGCGGGTAATGCACCCCGTGAAGGCCAAACATATGCACCCACCACTTCGGCCGAGTACAGTGAGCAGGGTCACCCCCAGCAGTCAGGCGAGATGATGCTCCTTGATCAGATGTCTATGCCTGGGACGATCCCCGTTTTTGGGAGCGATAGCATCTTGAGTAAATCGCCATATGTGACGATCCCAGAAGATTTCGTTGCCTACCTCTTCAACACGCAACAAGGAGGGGAAGGCTCGCCCATGGGCCAGATGGTGGCTCCCGGGTATGTTAGCAAGTTGGTTTTGACCTTCGTTTAGCCACGAACTTCACTAACATTTTTTGCAGCTACGGCGAGTACCAGAACCCCTATAGCGTCCCCTATGTGGGAACAGACGGCGTTCCTATGGGATACTTTCCCTCGGGGCCTCATCAAGTCATGGCTGTCAACAATCTGCTTGACCAGAATCTTCCAGAGGCCACAATCTCTGAGGAGAAGAGCCAAGAGATTTATGACTTCATCAACCAAAGGTTTCACGATAACGATGAGGCTCCGGCGATGCGACAACGTGAAAGCATTCTGGAGGGTGACCGCAGCGATGGCGATCACATGCTTAGCAAGCGGATGATGCAGGCTTACATCGGCTCGTACTGGGTTCATTTCAGTGACCAGATTCCTATCCTCCACAAGCCGACATTCTCGCCCGACCGTACGCCCAATCTGCTTCTTCTAGCAATGATGACAATTGGTGCGGCGTGCCTCGACAAAACACACGGCCAGAAGGTCACAAAGGCGGGTGCTCAGCTGTCCAACTTCCTAGCCTGGCACCTGAGATGGGAGATTTTCATGGACCCGAACTTTAGGCCGCCGGCAAAGCTGTGGCTGTTCCAGACACTTCTACTCCTCGAGCTGTACGAAAAGATGTACTCTACCAGAGAGCTGCACGAGCGAGCCCACATTCACCACGCAACCACAATCACTCTGATGCGCCGTGGAAGGTCTCTCATTGGCAAATCATCTCTCGACTCGCCACCAAACCCTCGAGATGACAAGACAAACAGCTCACGCCATTCTTCAGCATCCGGCATGGCCCACACCGCAGACGAGTGGTGGAATCACTGGATCACTAACGAGTCGACACGACGAGCTGCGTTTGCTGCTTTTGTCATTGACTCCATCCATGCTACCATGTTTGGCCACTCTACGGTTATGGTCACGCACGAAATGAGGCTGCCTCTGCCCTGCGATGAGGCCTTGTGGAAAGCCACGAGTGGTGCGGAAGTTGGCAGAGTCGAGTCTAATTTACTGTCCAACGGTGTGAAACCCATCTCTTTTCTGGAGGGTCTCAAACGAACGCTCAGTGGTCAAGGCGTGCAGACCAATCCATTTGGTCGCATGGTCCTCATGGCCGGTCTTCTCAGCGTTAGTTGGCATATGAATCAAAGAGACCTTCAGGTCAACGTTCTTGGCGGTGGCGTGTCTCAGGCACTGGGCGGCAGAGACAAATGGCGGGGAACACTGACCAGGGCCTTTGATGCTTGGAAGGAAGATTTCGACAAGTCCCTCACAAGAACAGAAGGCTCTTCTGACCCATACCGCTACGACTCGGCGAAGAAGAATGACGCCAACGTCGTTTTCGAGAGCCGTACCGTACTGCATCATCTTGCACATATGGCAATGCACGTTGACATTGTCGACTGTCAAATCTTTGCTAGGGCAAAGCGGCTTCTTGGGCGAGCTATTGGGCAGCAAGATCTCAATAGTGCTCAACGGAGAATGAAGGACATTTGGGCACCAACCGCCAAGGCTCGCGACGCAACCTTTTACGCCCTCAAGTTCATCAGATCTGTTCTCATACCCGATGGCGGCCAGGCACATCAGCCCAACGGCTTCAAGTACGATGAGCCGTACACTGCACGAGACGACGTACTCCTCAATAGGCCTTGGGTTCTATACTTTGCTGCCCTTGTTGTTTGGTGTTACGGATTCGCCCTGGAAGGTCCCTGCCCCGATGTTCCACCCCCGACATCCAAGCAGGAACAGTTACGACAAATGCGCGAATATCTTTTGAAATATGGGGGCGCGTCCTCGCCAGACGAGCTCAAGGCCATGAAGGGCATCAACGAAAACACGGCTATGCTTCTCGTTCTCAAAGACTCATTCGAAACCACCCGCTGGGAGCTGTTGCATGAAGGCGCCAATCTACTCAATAATTGTCTCCAGCTGAACGCTGGGGCTACCACGATGTAACTGGCGAGTAGCGAAATTACGACCAAACTGCATTCAAGCCATTCTAATTACGACTTACGCATGGTAATGGCACGACTTATTGACGACTGGGGGGATTGACTTTGAAATATTATACCACTTCTTGCGATGACATGACACGAGGATGACGGCCCCAGACGGTGAAATCGAATAAATGGGAGCCAGCATGGACATTCAGCTTGAGCATTTTCTTTCCTTCTTGTGTGTTGTACTGTATCTATACCCCCATGATGCGCGCGTCTTACCACAGCGCGATGGATTCTTCGTGGCATTTCAGCATTAGCGCTGAGACGGAAAAAGTAGGGTCTCGGAGAGAGTACACTGATGAATATAATCTTGCCTGACCACATGCCAGGTTCCATTGCAATGTCTAATACATGTCGACGCCATACCATTTCCAGGTCGCGGTAGACGACCTGCTGCCAAAAGAGAAAACCGACTTAGGTAAGGACGCGGAACGTGGGATGTCTGAGGGACTGGAAATCCCACCTATCCGAGACCATGTAGCTCGGGAATTGCCGGTGACTTTCTTTGCGTCGGAGAGGTGGCTCTGCCGTTTCCTGATGCAAGCCCGGCGCTGTGAAAGAGAGCCGTCTGCCAAGGGAACGCCGGTGATATTGGCGAGTTGAAATTTTGTGGATCGTATGCTCCGCTTCCGTTTGCTTTAGACATTAGGCCTCCCGGGTCCGGAGCCGGGCGGGATCCACTTTCCGGCTCCGATGAGTGCGGGGCTAAGGCATGTATTCGATAGCGCTTTTTGATCGTTGTCTTAGGTAAGTAAGGTAATTAGTGATCTTCTCTACCTTGCCTTACGTCATGATGACTTATACTGACTCCTGGTGACTCTTCTTGATAGGGCTCCATGGAGAGGGGTTCTTGACGTTCCAGAGAATATGTGCTTTAGGGGACGGGACAGTCGGAAAACCGAGGAACTGCTGCGCTGCCAGAGAGGTAGGTATCCGTAAGGCAACCTCAGTCGAGAGAGCTATTCGTCAGGGCTTCGACAAGCCAATCTCAGAGGCAATGACACTTTTGTCTGCATAACACACAGTGTCCGCCATTCTCCACCGCGCTGATACGCCGGAAGCTCACACACCCCTAAGCTCCGGGGTTGACCAAATTGCAGAACTCCAGGCGCGGGGGGGGGGGGGGGCTTCACGGATCGCAGGCAGGCGGTACCCACACGCGCTCGCCCTGCCCGCCCTTACATAGATTCGGATAGGTACCTACTCCAAACGCCGTACACCCTGCAGTTATCCCCGCACGAACGCTGCATGTGGTTCGTGACCCGCGTGGGAGGTTTGCGTGGGCGGTTTGACCAACCGGGTGGACGACGTAAGTTTAAGCTTCCGATCCGCTGTTTGTCTACCTACCTTGTCCTGCCTTACCTTGCTCGATTCTTCCCACCTTCACTACCTACCTTGCTACTTACCTTGCTACCTACCCCAAGAAATGTTCCCTCTCATCGTGACTCGTTGACCGGCTCCTCGTGCAGAATCTTGTTCCCCAAACCACTTGTCCATTTCTCAACGACGCATCCCTCTCTGAGCTGTGAACATACAACACACAAGAGACCACAACCGCCGCGGCGCGCGATAAGCTCCCCCTCCAGATGCTTGAATCCGACAGGGCGTCGCCATACCCATCGCCGTCGCCCAAGATGTCACAGCCGCCGCAGCAGCATCAACAGCTGCTGCATATCAACCTGCTACCGGCGGAGATCCTCCATCACATCTTTTCGGGCCTCGAGCCCCGCGACCTCGGACGTCTGCCCCGCACATGTCGATTCTTGCACTCCTACGTCAAGGGGAATCAGAAACTTTGCAAGGACGTGTATTTGAATGCTCTTGTATGGAACAAACCCTCTGTCCCACAGTTACCTTTTGTCTTGCGTCGCCTTGGAGAGGAAGGGAATGGTCTAATTCGCGATTTCTCGAATAGGACACACCTAAGCAGACTGGGTTGGATTGGGAGAGGGAACTGCACGATTTCGTGAGACTCGGTCTCGTTTGCGCTGGGGATAGTTTCAACGAAAAGGTGGGAGAGATTCCCTTGCCCCCTTTCACTATCGTAAAGGCATATGGGATATCATGAACCCGTTCTCATCTGCGCTACCCTAACTAGTCCCGCGACCTCCTCCCCTTCGTATCCGACGTCGTCAACAGGCTGCTACAACATGCCTCCCCGACAGGCGAGACGCAAAACGACACAGGCACCCACGCCGTCTCCCGCAACGCCGCCGCCCTAGCCAACTTCTTCCGCGACGAGCCCGCGCGGGTGGCTTTTCTGTGTCGCTCTCACATCTTTGACCGCGCGCGTGGCGACGTAGCACGCCCGACAAGCAGCCGCCGCCGGCAGTCATCGTCCCCGTCGGCGTCATCCTCCTCTTCCTCCCGGCTGGCGGACCCAACCGCCGACGACATCCACCAACAGAGCGCAAAGCTCCACTGCCTCTACGGCCGCCCCATCTTCAACTTTGGCCGCACGCGGTCCTCGCGGGTATACCCCTACGCCGCGTGCAAGGTCTACGACATGCGACAGTACACGACGCGCACGAAATGGGGGCCCTTTCGAGACGACGATTCGGGGCGGGTGGACTGGGAAAAGATGGAGGCCATCATGATCGTGCTGGGGAGCAACATCAGATCGCAGCGTCTCACCGCAAAGGTATTTTCCAACCTCTGGGAGAAGCCGTTTGCGGGCTCGTGGTCGGGGAGTTACGTGCCCTCACCGGGGAGAGGGATCCGGGATTTGGATCTGGAGGACCCGTACGGCGTCGCGGGCACGTGGTTGAGGGTGGTTTGTTTCATCGACTATAACGATTTCTTCCACTATAATTTCCCGATTGGAGAGGAGCCGCCGCCGATCGAGGTGCCGCGGCCGCCGCTGGACGTCGGGGAGGCGACGAGGATTATCTTGATGAAGATGTATGTTGTTGATGTGCAGCCGCCCGGGGAGGAGGATGGGAAGGAGCTGCCTGTTGTGCACTTTCATGGGTTGTCGCGGTCGGTTGATGATTCGTGGGATGAGAATGCGCATTCGCAACTTCGTGGTAAGTTTTCCTCGTCTTCTTTTCTTCGTAAAAAAGATCCTGGCTACTTCACGGTGGAAGGCCCCTTTCATGTGGCTTTTTCCGTTAAATTTCGACTGATTCTAATTAGCTACTGAAGGCACGGTTCGGATGACCAAGGAGGGCGAGGTGAGGTGGACGACCTTCTCCGTTTTCAACGGCCACGCGCGGTGGCGGAGCGAGGGGATACAGATTGGCGGTGTTGGGTCGGCTCGCGGTGTCATGGGACACTGGTTCGATACGTATGTTGTATCTCCTCCTTCTTCCTTCCACCTCCCTTTCTAGCATCTACTCAAGAAGAGAGAACATACCGAATGAGAGGGAGCCAATGCCAACTAACCTCTGCGACTTACAGAGACTACGACCCCCACGGCCCCTGCGGGCCCAGCGCCTACTTCAAGGTCTCGGACCGGGCGCCGGGCCCCAAGGACGGCGACGACAAGAAGATTGACATTCACGATTTCCTGCCCATCATGGACTTTGACGCGGAGCTGGCTAGCAACGAGGACGACGACGAGGACTTTGTGGTCGGGGAGTGGGGGGAGGACGACGACGATGACGGGGGCGAGATTGATGATGAGGAGCTGGTGGAGGATTTGGCGGCGTTGGCGGCGCCGGATTCCGAGCTTATGGATCTTGTGCTTGGTGGGCATCATCTTATAGAGCAGTGATAGGATAGGGGTGGTGGGTTTGGTGGAATCTGATGGTTTTTGTTGGCTTTGTGGATTTGTTCTAGCTTATGTGTAACATCTACAGCTGTATGTGTATACCGCGTGGGTAATAGATATCGTGAGTCTCACTCAACATCTCTTCTCATCCAAACTCCTTACACTCATTTTTCTCTGAAGAAGAAAGGGTAGAAAACAAAGCTTAATTCTCCAAATCACAACTTGCTCGCGGGCGGATCAGTATTAAACTTGTGATGCTCGCACGTAGCCAGCACCACCCCGTCGCTCCGCCTCGTGAGGGTACCCCTGAGCTGGCACAGCGTCCGGCCAATCTGGACAATCTCGCACTCGACGAGGCACTCCTCGCCGTTGGGGGCCGGGCGGAGGTAGCTGCAGTTGATGGTGCGGGAGACGCCGAGGAACTGCCAGTAGCCCGGCTTGTCGTTGACGAGGGCCAGGGGCATGGTGGTGAGGGAGTCGAAGAGGGTGGCGGCGGCGCCGCCGTGGAGGTTGCCGGCGCGGTTGCAGTGCTCTGGGAGGACGGTGAAGGAGAAGGTGGCGCGAGGGGTGGGAGTGAGGGAGGTGGAGAGGAGGGATATGGAGGGGATGAGGGCGCCCATCCAGTTCTGGAGGTCTTTGTGTCAGCTGGTTTATGTTTACTCGGGGTGAGACGTGATGAGAAAGGGGGGAAAGGGACGTACACCGAATTTGAAGTTGCCCGCGTCGTCCTTGTCTAGGTTCAGCCAGGCTTGGATGCGCTCTTCGCCTGCCTTGGCTTCGAAGACGGACTTGAACTGGGATGGGATGCCCATTGTGAATGAGGTGTCGTCGTGTGAGTTTAGAGTGAGAGTGAGAGTGAGAGTGAGATGAGAAAGTGAGTGTCGTCTGTCGCTGACAGCGAGTCGGGCTCTAGCTGTTGGAAGAAAGCTGAATCAAGTGAGGGTATCGATGGGGTACTAGGCCACAGATAATCAACCAGAAGGCGATGAATGAATAGATGGGCGATCTATGAGTGAGCCTCAATCTAAAGTGAGAATGGTCGAGTTGCTGATGCTATAATTCAATTGAGTTCGGTTGGGGGTCCGGATGGGTACCTTTTCTTAGGTACCCTTCCATTTCCACAGCAAATGGCCCCGCTGGCTTCCCCGGGTTCTTAGTCCCTATCTTCGGCACGCTAGTGGAACTGCCTCGGCAAATCCCTTTCGGTACGTTCAACCTCCAACTTCTGACAAACCAACCGCCGACGATAAGATAAACCACCTCACCTGTACGGAGATCTGCAGCCTTCCATTATCACCAACCCACCCGACGACACCTGATCCGTCATCGCCATGCCCAGATAACAGCGCAACTCACTCTTCTGCATCCGCGCACTCGCAGCAAGAAACCATTGACGGTATCGTCATCACATCAACCCCGATGCCCGCCCGCCCTCGTCCACCATGGAGTTCATGACCGCCCTCCGGGGCTCCTTCGACGACCAGAAACCCTCCCTCTTCGAGCTCATCTCCGAACAGCAGCTCAACTCCCTCCTCCCGCCCACCATCCGATACCTCCTCACCATCGCCACCCAACGATACCCGCGCTACCTCCTGCGCGCCCTCAACTCCTTTGATGAGCTCTACGCCCTGCTCATGCTCCTCGTCGAGCGCCACTACCTAAAGACCCGCGGCGGCAGCTTCACCGAGAACTTTTACGGCCTGAAGCGCGAAAAGGCCCTGCACGCCGAGATCCCGCGCGCCAGCGCCTCCGCGCCCGCCGTCGTAAGGGACACCCTCAAGCTCGGCACGAAGGACATATGGATGAACCTCGCCGTCGCCGTCGGCGTCCCCTACCTGCAGAGGAAGCTCGATGAGGGTTACGAGGTGAACGCGCCGCGGGCGCTCCTCGGCGCCGCCTACACCCAGATGCCGCCCAACCCGACGCTGAAGCAGCGCTTCCTGCACTACTATCGTTGGTTTCTGCGCAACATCTACCCGAGCGTCAACGCGGCCTACTACTTTGCGCTGCTGTCGTTCAACCTAGCCTACCTGTTTGACAACAGCAAGTATCACAACCCGTTCCTGTGGCTCATCGGCACCCGCATGAGGAGGATGACGGGCGCCGATTACCAGGCCATTGACGCGCTCACGAGCGGCGGCGGTAAGGCGAACGGAAAGCCCGGCGCGCCGCCCGGGTGGCGATCCCTCTTCTCCCCGCGCGAGATGGGCCCGCGTCTGCTCTCCAGCCTGTCTCTGCTGCTGCCGATGAGCATCTTTGCGCTCAAGTTTCTCGAGTGGTGGCACGCGTCCGACTTTGCCAAGCAGCTGTCGCGCAAGGCGTCCGAGACGCTGGATCTCCCGCCCCCTGTGGTCTCGGGCCTGGGGGCTGGCAAGGGAGGAGCTGGAAGAGCAGGTGCTGCCGCGACGGGCAAGGGCAAGGAGAAGGCGGTCAGCGGCGACGACGAGTCGGCGGACGCGGCTGTTCCGGCTGCTGAGACGGCGCCTATCGCGACGCCTTCGCTGTTGCCCATCTATACAGTGACTGCGCCTGAGGACTCGGCGCTGTGCCCTATTTGCGAGGATCCCATCGTTACACCGACGGCGTGTCAGACGGGTATTGTGTACTGCTACACGTGTATTCACCGGTGGGTGGAGGGTTTGCATCCGATGCAGGAAGATTTCATGGGAGACAAGGAAGGCAAGTGGGAGAGCGGACAGGGGCGGTGTGCGGTCACTGGCCGACGCGTCCTGGGAGGCACGGAGGGGCTGAGGAGGATCATGGTGTAAGACTAGTACAGGTGAGAGAATTTGGGTCAGTAGTTTACCGACGACGAGAAAGAGTCGGGGTGAGTGTTGAGGGGAGGGATTGCTTAAAGGTGGTGGGCATAAGCCGAAAAAGGCCATGGCGTTTGGGTCACGAACTTGTCCTATTTTGTTTCCGCTTGTATGCCATATCCACCATATGAATAATATACCCACTCACGATCTAGAACATCGTTGTCCTTTTTTTTGTCTTTTCTTTTCTGGCTCTGAGAACTTCGGAGGTGGAAACCCGGTGGAAGCAAGGGTCGGACATGAAGAATGCGGGACTAGGAATACCTCCACCGCTTGGAATGGAGGGGATGATGTCTCACATCGGGGCGGTGGTCCGGCCCCACGCCCCCCCGATCCCTTTCTACGTGATCTGGCATTCGATTCTACTTCTCTATTGGGTTTCACGTTTTTCGCTCACCGTTGGTTGGGCCTCTCTTCTTCGAACGGTTTTGCTTCCACTTCTTTTTTTGCCTGGGCGGCGCACCTCCTGTCTCGCCGTCAGGATGTCTCGGTCTGCCGAGTCTGCTACGCTCGGAGGGTTTATGGATGGGCAAAGAGGAAGGCAACTTTTTGAGCGAAGCTAGCGATGCTTGCATTCCTCTTGTTTCCCTTCTTTCTCTCGTCAAACTTGGTCTGCTTCCTTGACTTTCTCTTTTTGGAGTGGATATTGCGTGGTTGGGTCTCTCGAAATGGATTACCTGCGTATTGGATTCTCTGTCGACTTCCACCAGACCAGTCTAGCTTTCTCATCCTTTTTGGCTCTCTGTTCTTCCAACTAGGCGTAGACTCATATGAGCAAATGCTTCTTGTGGAGAAGCAAACGTCACCTGTTCTAAATAGGTTTTCTTGAGGAGGCTGGGAGGGAGATGGATCTCGAGCATCCCAAGGGCTTGGGTCCTTGGACAGGTCCTTGGCCAGACGGCGGTCGAGCAGTGGCATTCCTGACCCGGAGTGAGGGCTGCGATGATGGTGGTGTGGTTCTCATGTGGAGGAGGGCAGACTTGGAAATCCATTCGTCGAGGTTCGCATCTTTGGCGATTCTGTACCTGGATCAGTCGCAAGGGAGATATTGACGAGCAAAGGGTTATAAGGAAACTACACCCCTCTCTCTGAAGGGTCTCATGACATCTGGTTTCTGTTCGATCATCGAAACTGAGTCGTGGCGTTTGCTCTCTCACTCTCCTTCTCTCTATCTCTCTCTCTCTCTGTTTATCTGAATCAACCAGAGTCTCTCGTTGACGTGTGCATGCCCATCGGTTTCCGATCATCGATCGCTGACGCACCCGACCTCTTTCGCTCTATTCAAGTTGTTTTAGGGTGGTCATTCATACACTCTCTTGAATCTCTTAACACGACAAAGGGCACGGCAAAAAAGCCTCGAGAAGACACGAACAAAGGTGTAAAGGAACATTAGGAGAGGAAGAGGAAGAGAAGCCAACATGGCGTACAGCTTATCGCAGTCGTACTTCGGCGCGAACTTGATTTCAGACTTCAACTTTATCAACTATGCCGACCCATCCAACGGCTTCGTAAGGTACGTCTTTTCCTCCTCCTACTCACAGATATCGGCCTAGACCCTGTTGTTAGTTGAGCGGAGTTGGATGAACTAACGGCAAAGATAGGTACCAAAGTCAGCCCGACGCCCTTGCAAAGGGCCTCTACTTCATCGACCCGGACACGCAGGCCGTGACGCTGGGCGTGGATAACAAGAACACGTACGGCCTCAGCGACGGACGGCCGAGTTTGAGGCTAGAGAGCAAGAGGCAGTATAATCATGGACTGTTTATCGGTGATTTCGCGCACATGCCGCCGTCGGTTTGTGGGTTGTGGCCTGCGTGTAAGTTTGGATCTCTCCTTTTTGGGTCCCTTCATCTTGCCGAGTCTTGGAGGGGATCAGACCCGTTGAAGACGTATCGGGTTACCTTTCTTGGCTCACTAGCTTACATTGAATCTGGATAGTCTGGATGTATGGACCGGACTGGCCTACAAGCGGAGAAATTGACATCATCGAGGGCGCGAACCAGGCTACAAAGAATATCCTCTCCGGACACACGTGAGTCTCGCACTCCTTCATGCCATATCTAGAAGTCGGGTTTAACACGATAAGTCTAGTACATCAGGATGCCGTATCCCAGACTCCCCCGCAGCCGCCGGCCAACCTCTCCTCCTCGACTGTGAAAGCCCAGGTGTATGTAGCCTCCTCAGTGAAGCCCCCGGCCACTTGTATATTCATCATTTGGTGATGTGTGACTGTGTGCTCTCTTGCTAACAAGACACCAAAAATTAGACCACCAACAACGCCGGCTGCAACTACCTTCCCCCCGCCTCGGACACACACACCTACGGAGACGCTTTCAACGCAGTCGGCGGCGGCGTCTACGCGCTCGAGTGGACCTCGGAGGCCATCAGTATCTGGCACTGGCCGAGGCAGAGCATCCCGGACGATATTGTTGCCAAGAACCCGGACCCGTCCGGCTGGGGCCTGCCATCTGCGCTGTTTGGGACGTCGTCGTGTGATGTAGACACATACTTTAAGGATATGAGTATTGTGATTCAGACGGTATGTTCTGCGTGAAGTGGCGTGAGTATATTACAAATTAAGCTGACTTTGAGACGTTCAGAACTTTTGCGGTGATTATGCTGCCAATATCTGGGGCAAGGACGGGGACACCTGTAATCAGCGGGCGCCGACGTGCGTTGAGTACGTGGCGAACAATCCTACCGCATTCGCAAACGCGTAAGTCATCGGACCTTTCTCACACATGCTCCCTGGAACCTCCCTGACGAGAAGCGGAAAACCAGATACTGGGAAGTCAACTACATCGACGTCTACGAACAAGGCCTCGCCACGAACACCACCGCCAGCCCGTCCGAGCCGACGACAACGACAACGATCCAGACCACATCGACAATCTACACCACGGTACCGAACCCTGCCACTATCGTGACGAGTTTCACGCAAAACGGTACTGTCATCGTGTCCACCGCCACAATGCAGTCCTCCCAAGTCTCGTCCGTCGTCCTGTCCACCGTCGTGGGACCGACCGCCACCGCGCCGCCGAGTCCCTCGACGGACCCCGTAGTCCCAGGGTGCGAGCCGGCGACGATTGGGGAGTATGCGTATCTCGGCTGCTTCGGCTCCGGGACCGGGTTTCAGAGCTTCTTGCTCAAGGCCTCGGCGGCGGATATGACGCTCGGCAAGTGTATTGATCTCTGCAGACCCGGGAAATACGCCGGTGTCCGCGAAAGGTAATGTCCCGAACCCTCTTCTCAGATAAAACCTCTCCCACTAACACATCCCCTCCCAGCGAATGCTTCTGCGCAGACGACCTCGACCCAGACACCAGAGCAACAACAGACCGCGCCCTCTGCAACAGCCCCTGCCCAGGAAACAGCACCCAGCTCTGCGGCGGCACCACAAGCACCCCAGCCACGAAGCCAAAGCGAGACACCCTCCCGCCGTCCTTCTCCTCGAACCCTCACCGCCGCCTCATGCACCTCCACCTCCACCGCCGCGCCGCGCCCTCAACCTACCTCTTGTCAGTCTACGCCCGTCTCACAGACGAAGTACCCCCCAACGCCCCGCCCCTGGGCGACCCGGAACCCCATACCCCATCCACATCGACGCTCATCACGACGGTGACATATACCACCGTCTGCGCCACCGACGCGGCGCGCCTGACGCCCGCGGAGCACTGTACCACGATCCTGGTGCCGGGGTGCAACAAGTACTGCGGTGGTGACGGGATGCAGCCCGCGGCCGTGAGCGTGCCGATGACGATGACGGTGGCCTCGTGCGCCGGGTGTGGTGCCGACGGCGCGGACCGTGTGACGCTTACGGTGCCGTTTTTGGTGCTTGCGGTGCCGGGCACCGGGGCCGGGGCCGGAGCCGGGACGTCGACGGGGTATTGGCCCACCGGATCGGTGACTGGTGCGGCGGCGACGCCGCCCGCGACCGGGAGACCCACTCCGTCGATGGTGTCTGTTAGTGCAGGGGCGTCCGTGGCGGAGGTGAACTTTGGGTGGGCTGTTGGGTTGGGGGTCGCTATTGCGGTTGTACGATTCGCGTTGATGTTTTTCTGATGAAGTGGGAATTGTGGATTTGACGTCGAGGCGACGTGCGAATCGGTGGGCTGGTTCCCGGTGCATATTGGCGGCGCATTTGGTCTCTCTCTTTCTCACTTCTTTCTATCTTTCTGCTTGGTTTCTTTCGTTGATTTCCTCCACCACGTTCATTAGCATAGACATCGCCATGATACCACACCAGCGCAACGGGCGCATCGCCTTACTACATTATACGTAGTTCTTATAGGTACACAAAAACTTTATGATTCCAAGTCATTATCTTGCTCTTTATTTCATTACAAATCCACTACTTCCACCGGGTTCCCCAGCCGCCCCGTGTTGCCGTACATTTGCGCGGCGTTGACCATGAGACTACTGGTGTTGCCGCCGGGCCCGACCATGAGCCACTTCCAGACGATGCCGTGTATGCCGTAGCCCAGGACGGCGAGAGCGTCCCGCCAGCCAGCGTGGGGGAAGAGGTCGCGGAAGAGGCCGCGGGGCGGGCGGGACATGAGGGCCTCGTAGGCGCGCTGGCAGTCGTCAAAGTGGACGGTCTGGCGGCCGTGGCCCCAGTGGACGTGGCCGAAGACGTGGAGTTTGGGGCGGACGCGCCAGACTTCTTGGAGGAGGGCTGGGCAGCCTAGGTTTAGGTCTAGGTGGGTTTTCTTGGGACTTGTGTTAGATGAGGAAGTTTTCGCAGGTGGAGAGGGTGAGATGAAGTGAAATGAAGTAATATGAGATGAGATGAGACTTACTGGTGGTGTGTGAGTGATCAAAACGTCAGTGTCAATTGGTACCGTGTTGGTCCAGGGCGGTGATGAACGATCATATTGGAAAGCCATTTCTGAACCGCCGCAGGTCGGGATATCAGGGGCACCATAGATCTTCAAGTGACGGCCACCCTTGAACTCCAGCGTGACGGCATCACGGATGAGATAGCGGATCCCCTTGAAATCGAGGCTCTTGCCGCGGTCCTCGGGCAGACGGGCGCTGGGATCGAAGAAACTGTCATGGTTGCCGCACACGAGGATCTTGTGCTGGTGAGGCTGAGCGGCGAGCCAGTCGAGCTGGGCCTGGATGTCGGCGACGGTGCCGGCGTTGGTGAGGTCGCCGGCGTGGATGAGGAGGTCCCCCGGGGGTATGTCAACGTCGGTGCGGTCGTGGGTGTCGGAGAGACAGACGATGCGGATGGCGGGCTTGTCGCGGGGCGGAGTGAAGGGTCGACCGCGGAGGAAGAGGATTATGCTATAGATGATTGTGACGAGGAGGTTCAGGGGTGAGAGAAGGATGGCGTCGATAAGGGTTAGGGGCTCCCAGTCGTTTTTGCGGCGGAGGCCGATGGCTGTGAGGAGAGTCATTTGGAGAGTGTGTCCGCCGGTGTCCCTGGTCGTGGGGATATCGAGTGAAGGGACGCAGGGATTATACGACTTCCATGTGAGCTGCTGTGCGAGGTGAGTGAAATTGGTGATATGAATTGAGGTGAGATACGGTGTGGTGAGGTGAGGTGAGGTGAGGTGAAGTGGTGTTGAGGTTGGCCGGACGGATCTTCACATGGGGCAGAGGGAGCTCCAAGCAGCTGCCAAAGCTGAAACCCCACCGATGACAGCACCAGCCAGCCCATGTGCAATCCAATGACAATCCACCCGTCAGAAGTCAATCAGCCAGTGCATGTCGCCATGTCCACAGTGAGGTGGGCCGGCCGGCACCTGGCATGGCGGCGGTTCAGCTATGCTGGGGGCCAGAGGAGGAGGGGAGTGGTGGAGGGGGAGGCCGGGGCAGCACGAGCCACGCACCACCCATTGTCACTGCTACGATGCTACAAGCCCACCAAGTACAACACCACTGGACCTTTCCCAGCGACACGGCAGCGCCAATCCACGTTTGGCGTAGCGGTGGTGGGATCGACTGGTGGGCACCAGGTACTTCGTAGAGGCATTGAGGGGCTAGAGCTTGTTCCCTGAAAATGAGCTCCCCGGCCAAGTCGGGGCCCTGCGCGGTGACGTGACGGTTCCCTCAGTCCCGCCAGTCAGCTAAACGCCCAAGCTCCTCTCTCCTTCTGTTCATTAAAAAAACCTGCCAAGCGAGACATCACCGTCATTACTTCCAGCCACTTGGCTAACATTCTCGCACTTGGCTTTAAGACCATCGCGAACCCTACCACCTTTTCTCTTGTCGTGATCCCGTCACTTTCGAGCATTTGGATAGCTCTCATATCTTGTCTCAAAGTGCATCCCATCTCTACAATCCAGACCTCCTATCCTGCACACATACCATCCGTGCTCGAGCTTCCGACGACTGATCTCTTGGGACGAACCCGCGGTCCGCAGCAGCAATGGCGACTCTTCGCGACCTTTACAGCGATGAGAAGACCAAGGGTCTAGACACCAACTTTGGCGTCGACTATGTCATCAACTACAAGATCCCGCAAGAGGGCGAGTTTCCCTTTGCCTCTGTGCCTCACCACGAAAACTGACCCATTACTTCGTTCAGACCGCGCCAGCGCCGAAGCTTCATTCGTCCAGCTAATCGAAGCCTTGACCCATGTTGGCCTGACCACCGAGGTCCGGAGAGGCGACAAGAGCTCCGTCCTCGTCTTCATCAAGATCGCCGACAAGTTCCTCGCCGACCAAGTCTACCGATCCAGACTGCAAGACTGGCTACAGGGCGCTCGAACCAACACCGCAGACAAGGACCTCTCCCAAGCTCTCCGCGATGAGCCCGTCTCCGACGCCGAGCGCCTGCGTCTCGTCTACCTGCTCATGGTGAAGCCCAAGAACGAGGGCGGAGCCGGCATCACCCCCGAGTCCGGCAAGTGGAAGCACGTCGCCAGCATCTTCCCCCTCCACAACCACTCCTTCAACCGCCAGTGGATCAAGAGGGTGAGCACAAAGGGACAGACGGACGAGAACGACCTCGACGAGATTCGCGATAAGTTCGGCGAGAGCGTCGCCTTCTACTTTGCCTTTATGCAGACCTATTTCAAGTTCCTCGTCGTTCCCGCCGCCGCCGGCTTTGGTGCTTGGATGTTCCTTGGCCAGTTCTCCTGGCTCTATGCTCTCGTCAGTTGCCTGTGGTCCGTTATCTTCTTCGAGTTCTGGAAGCAGAGGGAAGTCGACCTCGCCGTACAGTGGGGCGTCCGCGGCGTCTCCAACATCCAGCACCCTCGCCCGCAATTCGAGTTCGAGCGCCAGGCCGAGGACCCCATCACCGGAGAGCCCGTCAAGATTTACTCGCCCATCAAGCGTCTGCAGACGCAACTTCTCCAGATCCCTTTCGCAGCAGCGTGCATTGTGGTGCTGGGCACTCTTATCGTGACCTGCAACTCGCTGGAAATCTTCATCAACGAGGTATACAATGGACCTTTCCAGTCCTACTTGGCCTTCCTCCCGACCGTCATTCTGGTTGTTATGACGCCTACTTTCTCTACCGTGCTCACCAAGTTCGCGACGAGACTGACTGAGATGGAAAACTACGAGACGATTGACGCACACCATGCGGCTTTGGTTCAGAAGGAGTTCGTTCTCAACTTCCTGACCTCTTACATGGCCCTGTTCTTCACCACCTTTGTCTACCTGCCCTTCGGCGACCATCTCACTCCTTACCTCGACTTCTGGCGGACAACTGCGCAGAAGATCACCCCCAAGGACGTCAACTTCCAGACTCAGGAGTTTTCCATCAACCCTGAGAGAATCAGCAAACAGATGTTCTACTTCACCGTCACCGCCCAGGTCGTCAACTTTGCCACCGAGGTCATTGTGCCGTACGTCAAGCGCCAGGTGTTCCAGGAGGTCAGAGAGGTGCAGTCCAAGATGTCCAAGGAGGACAGCGCTGCCAAGATCAAGGACCAGCCGGAAGAGGCTGCCTTCTTGGAGCGTGTGAGAAACGAAGCTGAGCTTGAGACCTACGATGTTACCGGAGACTACAGGGAGATGGTCATCCAGTTTGGTTACCTCTCTCTCTTCTCCGTGGCCTGGCCTTTGACCGCTTGCTGCTTCCTCGTAAACAACTGGGTCGAGATGAGGTCGGACGCTGTCAAGATCGCCATCAGCAGCAGACGGCCGATTCCGTGGCGCGCCGACTCTATCGGACCCTGGCTCAACGCCCTGGGCTTCTTGTCTTGGTTGGGTAGCATCACCAGCGCCTCGATTGTATTCCTGTGCAGATCCGCTGGCAAGGGCGATGGACCTCGTGGTACCCCTGGAAGCATTCAGGCATGGGGTCTCCTCCTCAGCATCCTCCTTTCGGAGCACTTCTACTTTGCCGCTCAGTTCGTCGTTCGCCTCGTTATGAAGAAGCTGGATAGCCCCGGACTGCAGAGGGAGAAGAAGGAACGTTTCATGATGAAGAAGAGACTGCTCGAGGAGAACCTGGGCCAAGGCGTTTCGGACCAAGCTGCCACTCCGGGCATCGAGAAGACGGAGATGATCACCATGCAGGCTCTTGAGGATGAGGCCCGCAGGATCTCGACTCAGGGCCACGGAGGCGCCGAGGAGGCGTAAGTTGATGTTCTCGCCCTTGACTTTGAAGATTCAACCTGACGATTTGACAGATTCTGGCTTCGCCAACGCGGTATGGCCGAGACTATCCAGATTGGTCGCAATCTGATTTCTCAGGTAAGTCGCTGTATACTTTAACCGTCACTGCCACCTTCTGACATGAGATCATCAGAGCATCTCCGGAAACACAACCAAGGCATAGAGGCCGTCATCAACAGTGGGTCAAAGGACGGGCTGGTGGATGAGAAACAAAATATACACACAATCCCTTATTGACGAGAATATGAGTTATGCCTGTTCTGGCGTGTATTGCTAGCGAATATGTTTAATCGGGGTCTTCCGAAAAGCTACGGTTTACTTGCTGTCTGTAATCGGGCGTTTGTTTCGGTCAAATTAAGAGTTAGGCAACCCCTCTAGATGTTTGTCTCTTCGGTGAAGAAATATGGAGCAAAAGCGATGCTGTCGTCGGTGGCCACAAAGGGTGACCGATGGAGAAGTTGAGATAAGGTATGTTGTCAGGGCTGTCTACCTTCCTGACCTTACTCAGTGCTGCCTCATGATGAAAGGGCAGATGACCACTTAAAACAAACTGCGCACCGGGCAAGGCAGATCGGGAGGCTTAAACAACTGGGCGTCGTTTTGTGCAATGATCCAAATGCTTGTTAGAGCCTCTTTACTCTAAGAGGCTACGTCGATGGGCTTGTATTGAGCTGCGCCTCTGCGCTAGCTGTGCTGGACCTCGTGGTTGCAGCGTTCATCTGATGAGCCTACCATAATACCTAGGTACCAATGCTACCTACCTCAAGTTTCTTGCTTATTCAGTCATAGTACGTACCGACGTTGTGGACTTGATCGCTTACAACCCCCTACCAAACGTCCCTCTTCCCTCAATACTCTACCAGCAAACTCCGTCACGCCCGCGACATTCCTTTCGCTTGAGAAACACCAATCGCGGGGCCAGCTTTAGGAATGTGCCACGCCGATGAAGCCAAACGGATCTGCCTGGGGGGGTTCTGAAGGCTAGCAGCGACAGCTCAGCAGCCCTACCTCGGATCCAAGACGCCAGAACGCCTCCTCCTCCACCTTTGGCGCTTCTCCTCCACCCCCCTCCTCCACGTTGGAACATGCAGCAGACATGTTGACACTCTTTTCATCGCCCGCCATGTCGATCTCCTCGCGGGACTAGCCTGATACCGGGGCGAGGTTCACCTGCATTCGCTTGCAAAGGTGGGCGCAACACCACCGCACCGCCTTGCCTGCTTGTCACTCATGTCAACTTTCAAGACCTGAACTGGAACTGGAAGTGCGGAGGCGTTCCGAGAAGCAAGCCACGCCCGTTGGCTACCGGTACTCTCGTGTCCTTGCTCGCTCGCTCTATCTCTCGAGTGACAGATTGACGGACGGCCCAGAGGTACGCTTCGTGTCTCGGGAGAGAGAGCGGCCAGTCTGACATGCGGTGCGCCCTGCATCTGCCTACCTTGCCCGCCAGCCGCCCATCTCCAATCCCGTCCCGTCCTTGTGTGCCATACCTTGCCCATCTATCCTGCGGCCTGGAGCTGGCCCTGCTTTTGTGGTGGTGACTCTGAGCGAAGCCGACTAATTGATCTGCTCAGCTCAGCTTAGTAGTTTTCCTACAGCCTTGTCCCATCCTAACCTGCCCTTCTCTTCGCATTTCCTCTCTCTTCTCCCTTCTCTTTTTCTCACATTTTCTGCCAAGATCTTTTCTCCAAAGTTTTGTGATTGTGAACCCTCAAAAACACTTGGCGATTGCGCAAATTCAGATCCAAGCTTACTATTCGGATGACCCTCTGCCAACTTCTCGCGCTGGCTTAGCCCATCGTGTACCTTTAACCAACCAGACC